CAGGCAGGCAGGCAGGCAGGCAGGCAGGCAGGTAGGCAGCCCGGGAGGTACTCCCAGAAAAGTTGGGTGGGGGTGTGCGGCCCACTTCCCAAAACACTTACTCTATTTATGACCAAAATCTGCGATTTTTGCTACCCCTTTGATAACCTGACCAAAAATTCGATATCCTATTTATGATCGTTGCGGCTGGCACAGTTGCCCTAAGAGCTATGAAGCTATGAAGGGCTTTTGTTGATGGGCTTATCGATAATGATGATAAAGTAGCTGCTTCTAAAAAACATACCCAATTCAAGACTGGAGTGCAAAAACCATACCTATTTGTGATCAAAACGGCCAAAATCGATAACCTATTTATGAAAAAAACCATACCCTTTGGGGCCGCACACACCTCTATAGCCCATATAAGGAAGTACCCCCCAACTACATTCCCCCCTCCCTCCTGGGGACAGGCAGGCAGGCATTTCGTCAGTCTGGCAGTCAATCAGTAACACCTTAATGTAGTTACCATTCAGTCAGTCAAGCAATCAGTTATTCAGCCGGTCAACCAACCAGCCCGGTCGATCGCTCAGTCAGTGACTCGCATAACTCTTTATCTGTCATACATTTACTTTCAATAGTCGTTTGATGTTTCCAGTAGGTAATTTGCTATAAATAGTGTTGTTAATCAGTTTACACTCGTTCCATTCATTCTAGGCGCATTTGATCATATTCACATGTTAATTTGCGCCTTAGAAATATTAAATATTATTTTTATTATTATTATTATTATTCATAGGTTCGTCGCGAATATTCTCGAGTGTTATGCTGTCGCGAGGAGGACAAGCGCTTCTTGCTAACGAAACCTTCGAACTCTGAAACCAGCAAATCAGAATCGAGATCGAGAAGCCATATCGACAATTTCAAGAACAAGAACCAAACAATAAGTAGTTCAGTAGATTCTATAGTAAGTAACGATAAGTTGCCACGGATGCCCCTTATAGGAACAAAGTCTTTTGAATTCTGCACGTGATGGCTCGTACCAACGTAACAAAATCCAGTTTCTTTCATGCAAGAATAACACCAGTAACCATACACAGTTCGATAATTACGTACAGGAGAGGCTCCCTTGAATTGACACTGGTGAAAAATGTCCTTCAATGCCACAGGGTGTGGTATCGTTGAATTTTCGGTTATCATTACTTTCTCTCGAGTTGTGCTGATCGTAATAACTAGCCTTTATTTCTAGACGTTTTGTACGTTCGGTCTTAACAAACTCTGAATTAACTAACTGGAACGTGGAGAAGTAGCGGGCACACAAATCGAATTTCTGTCTCAGTCAGCGATCTGTCTGTCAGCCTGTCAGTGTGTCGGTTTGTTTATTTTATTACATTTTACTTTTTTAGGGGACAATAGAGAGCAAAAGAAACACGTTTGTGGTGCATGTATCAGGTATGTTGCTGCTTTTAAATTTACGGTTTGCCAAGAAACTGTTTCCTCTGGCGTGATTCTGAATTATAATGTTCTTTCCGAGCATAGTCTCCCGTGAGCATATTAACAGTATGTACGAAGAAGGGAAGTTTTAAAATGAACTTCACATAATTACTTTTCAGATGGTCAAGTGCGCGTGCGTGGAGTTGCTACAGATGAGTACAACAGAAACCTAGTAAGAAATCGCCTGCAAAGTGGAGAGAGTGTTTCTAGTTTTGAGCAGCCCCCAGGAGAGGTAAAACACATTCTAATCAAGTATAATTTTGAACTCAGATCTCCCAGCGGTATTGACATACTTATACGTACGACAAAACTCCAACACTGGCACATGCAATGATATATGGCGCTGAGCAAAAAAATGCTTTCAATTTTTTATACGTAATCATGACTGTGCTATGTCTGTTTTCGTCTCTTTCAGCAGCATCGTGATGGCAGCAGGCATTCTACAGCATCTGTAGCCAGTGAGGAATCCGAAAATGAGCAGAGCAATGAAGTCAATGAACAAGACACGCTAGCTGGAGAGAATTAGAACTACACTGATCTGTCTGTATCTCTGCACACTGCTCAGGGCGTTCGCTTATCACGCGTGAGCCGCGCGTGGGACCCCGTGGTAGTCGCGCGCTTTAGTGTGGTTTGATGAGATGCACATACACGCACTGGCAATTATCAGTCGCTTGGTGCAGACACTCTCAAATACAAGATATAAATTTTGTTAAAACAGATAGGACTTTCTCCATGCAATATAAAAGCTGCGAAGCAAACGGACATGGTTTAACCGAATCTGATTTGCTAAGGTGCACACCCGGAGATAACCTTTCTTTACCTGAATTCTAAAATCGCGAGTGACTTGTACAGAATGCAAATTTCAGTTACAATCAAAATAGAGACCAGCATTAAAAGTAAATATTGAAGACTAAGTTAACGGATATGTTAAGTACAGTTAGACCGACTAATTCGAACTCGATTATTTTGAATTCCCCATTATTTCGAAATCAAAACGCTTTCCTTTGAATTAACCTGCGAACAAGTGTTCTTTTAGGTTCGATTTCCGCCGCTCTCTCTTGTCTGGTCTACGTTGCTTCTTTCTCGAACAGCGGCTGGTAATCGAGCCTAATGTTCTTTTTCGAACTATGTTTCGTCAGCCCCGAGAGTTCAAAACAGCGGGATTCAACTGTTATTGGTTTGGTAAGTTAGAAAAACAAAAATGGAGAGTTGTGAAGGATTGGGGAACTACTAACGTTTTAAGATGCACCGTTCGTTAGATTTGATACGTTATATAATGCTCAGTGAGACATATGCAAAAATGAAATCCCCAATCGCTACTGCAGTGCAATATCTAAAATATCCACCAAGCTGTACGTATAAGTATAACAAAATAAGTTTCTTGGTAATATTAAAAACAAAATAACATGCGCTGCTGTTTATACCAAACTGTGGCTAAAGATTGACTTAATTTAGTAGCAAAATAAATCGTAAACGAACTCAGTGGTGCCTTATTAAGTGCTAGGGGCTGTGCCACTATGGGGTTCTCCAAATGCTCACCGTATTTCCCCCCAGCGCGCACTCTACAAATTTTGCACGGGAAGGCTCCGCCCGAAGGTCCAACCCTTTTGTATACCACTTTGATAGAACAGGAACCCCTTCAACGTACCTACTTAAGAACACTGCGACCCTTTTCTAAAGCCTTGGAATGAAGTCAATAAACCATACTACAATACTATGGGAGAACATGAACCATTACCAGAAGAGATGTTTTAAACTAAAGAGCAAGTATCAATTTGCTCAGTTCCTGTTTACAATATACCTAAATGGCAGATTTCCCTACCCTTTCATATACCTAAACTTGTGAAATCCCTAATCTTTAAAATACCTGAAACCCTTTTATATTCAAAGGTAACCCATTCGTGCGGAGTTTCCCCGTATAGGCCCTTATGTTTTCAATACTCCAGAAGTATATTCCAGACTGAGCTCTAAAATCTTTTCCCCACAATGGCATGTATTTCAAACCGTGCCTATCACTGACTAAATAAACAATAGTCTCCATTTGGTGTTGGGATGGAAGGGTGGAAGGGTCAAACTGGTGGACCTTTCCTTGCTTGAAAGGTACTGCAGTGGAGTTAATATCCTTGCCACAAAAAATGCCCCTTCTTCCCTTTCCTAGAAACAATGATTAGTGCCCGTGGGGGGTTACTAACTATAATGCGATAATCCTATATGGGGAAGATCTGCCCGAAAGGGATACTGTTTTCAGGCCTTTGGCACATAAAAGGGTTGGGATTTCACAAGCTGAGGTATATGATAGGGTAAGAAAATTTGTCTTTACAATTTTGCGAAGGGCTTTTAATTAAAATTTTTGGAACAGACATACTGTATGACTGTAGCATTTCATTTATTAGGCACTACATGAAAATTACAAGACTTTGCTTTCTTGGCAATTTATTCATAATATGGGCCAGTTATAAAAGTATGTGAAAAGGGTACCTTTTTAGAATTAAAGGTACACAAATTTACAGGTATATCTTTTCTGTCAAAATTGTATACAAAAGGGTAAGGGGTTGGACCTCGGACTGAGCCTCACCATACAGACCCTTTTAGAGTACCCCCTCCCCCTCCCCCTCCCCCCCAGGTTACAGTGCCATAGCTTTAACTGCGGTGTTATTTATGACCAGAATAAACAGGTACTGGTACACTGTTGGGGAATTCAAAACCTAAGAATGCTTTAAGACTGTACACTGTCTTTAGAATCTTCAAGTTCAAGTGGCACTTTACTGGTGAGGTAAGGTAAGGTCCGAGCGCAGGGTTACCTCCCAAACCTAAATTTGCTGGTATCCATTTGCACACAAATGGATACCACTTTGAGAATAAAGTGTCTTGTCCAAGAACATGACAAAGTGTGCCCGGCCAGGACTTGAATCTGGATGGCTTGACCCGGTGTCATGAACACCAACCGTCTTACAGTGTTTGAGGCCACGTGTGACCCTGTCTTATTTATCTCAATGTAAAATAATTTTGTTAGCCCTAGTATTAGAGGGTTGTCAATAAGGGCCGTAACTCGTAACACCTACTACTGGGCCCTTAATGTTACGGGTAAACTCGACTATGGTTGATACAATTCACCCAAAAGATAACAAGTTTGTTAGGGGCGTGAACATCAAGGCTACAGTTGACTTAATGACAGCCCTGGCATTATATCGGTTGTTAAGGTTATTCCCCAGTATTGCATTGCGCATCCCTACGGCGCATAATTTCACGCGTGATTAACGCGCACGCATTAAAAAATAGCGGCCTTTTCTTTACGGCTGGACCTCGCCATGGAGGTAAATCGTCATTTCCTCGCAAACGAGTATGGTGACCTATCATTTTTTCTGTTGTTTTGAACTAAGTACCGGGTAATAAATTTCTCTGTGTAAAATAAATATGGACCAATTCTCAGTGTAAAACAAAAAACAATCATCGGAAACGTGAATTTAGCGAGTAATCGTGACTACAATCATGGTGCTATTACAAGGATTTATATGGGCATAAACAAGGTGCTGTTGCTCCTAAACGAACATGGGGACCCCTCATTTTTGTTTCAAAATTTAATTTCCTATAATACTAACAATCAATTAGCAAAGTTTCACAAAAATCACAGTGCAGGTTCTATTTCAGTGGAATGACCTTAAGTCTTTATTGGTGGGTTTATTGTCAGAACAATAATATATTATCAAGAGGGGAGTGGAGGCAGCGGCAAAGGATTGTTGGAAGGAATAATTATCTCCTACTTCAAAAGCTGTTACAGTAATTTTGTGAAGGGATGCTTGTTCTGAAACAATTTAGGTCCATACAGGGATACTGCAAGGCAAAACCCCGTTAAGATAATAATATGAAACACAAATGATAGAAGAACTTATCTTTCTTAGAGCTAAATCTAACTAATAGCGGTAATCCCATTCGAGACCAATTGAGACGAAATAACATGTATTATCTTATATGTATCTTAGTTTAAGTTTATGGCAGCCATAAACTGATGTTTATGAGACCTGAGAGACAATATCTCAAAGTCAGGCACACACATACTGCATTGTAACACTTTATTTCAGAGACATGTAACACTATGAACCTCGTGTCATGCTCATAAGTAAATCC